GTAATCGTAATCATAACCATCATAATCATCGCAGTCGTCGTCATCATCATCATAATCATAATCATCATGATCGTAGTCACAGTCGTAGTCATGATCTTAATCGTCATAATCATAACCACAATCATAATCATAATCGTGATCATCATAATCATAACCATAACCGTAATAAACTATAATCATGATCATCATAATCGTAGTCACAGCCGTAGTCAGTCATAATTATGATCATGATCATCGTAACCATAATCATAATCATCATCGTCATCACCATCATTATCATTATCGTCATCATCGCCATCAAATGTGGGCATCATCTTTGTGATCGTCGTGATCGTCATGATCATCATCACCGTCATCATAATCGTCATAATCATCGTTGTGGTCATCATTATAACAACAACAGTAATAATCACGATGCCGCCTGTAATCAAGTTGATTTTCAGGCACGAGAATTTTGTTACAAACAGTAGTTTGCTGATTGATCAAAGCTCGCTTGCACTGATTGCCGAAGCAGCAACTGCAAAGCATACAAGCAAAATTTTTCGAATGTTAACAAAACTTTTGATAAACGACGATTTACTGCTGAGTGGCACCAGGTGATTCTTTTTTGTGTGCTTTTAACTTTTACTTTGATTATACCTGAGTCAAATGCCAGTTTATGGCCCGATTGTCCAACCCTATGCAGCTTTTCCATTTGCTCTGGCTGACACTGCTTCATCTGCTGGTCATTCTGCTAGCGATCCTGGCGTTCGTTTCGTTTTCGCAGACTTGCATGACTTTTTTTTTTACTCGTTCTTTTAATAATTTTTTTTACCCTATGTGTGCTTATGTTGGTTTGGCGGCCTGAGTGAATTTTTGGGACTTCTTACGGTTGCCAAATGCTTCTGTCACATTTCTGATGCTTCTTTCTGTGGCAAGGCATTGCTTCCTTCTGATAAGGATCACGCACAATCAGACTGTGAATTGCGGATGATTCACATAAGCTTTTAGATTGTTTGGAAGCAAGCAGGTGACGGGTTTGGTTGCTTGGCATACGTTAGTGATACGAGTTTACCATCGCAACGAATGAACGAATCGTACAGGGATTGATTATTCCACGGGAGGTGTCGGGCCTCCAACTGCTTTCCACTGTGGCGTGCTCACCAAGATCGTTATAAAAGCGATAAATTTGTTAAAATTGTATGAGCAACATCAAAGTAACAAAAACTTCTATTAAAACTTTCCATTTCAAGGAATTTGCTAATGGAATGGATCCATGGAATGGTTTTTGGTCTATCGCCGGAGATTCTGCAGCACATAATGGACAAGACGGAGATGATCGAATTGCGTGGTGCATTGCTTGACTCATTCGTGCGACATTCTCTTCCCAAGAAAACATATCTGGATAGCAAATCTGGCTCAGGTAATCCTCACTTGTATTGCTGCTTCGATTGCAGATCGCTTCTACAACGTACCGCAGGTTTTTTACTGCTAGATTGTCCCTAAACCGTAGGGTTTTTATTGCTTTGTTCATTTTCTTCCTGGACTACTTGTCTTTTCCGTGTACAGATTTTTTCGCTTTCTCCATTCTTTGAATTTCTTTGTCTATCTTTGTTATCCCGAGCTGCACTGTTTGGTAGCAAGTTTCCTCAAATTTGGGTTATTGAACCAGCTGATCTTTATAATGCTGGATTTTTATGATCTCCGTTTTGGCGTGATAATTATGAGAATGAGGACAAGCGATAAGA